CCAGCTCTGCCGTGCCTGCCAAAGAGCCAGCCCAGAGCAGCAGACTGCCAACATCAGCCCATGCCTGTGCTCCCTGAAAGCAGCCAACCCTGGGCCCCACTATGCCTCCCTCCTCCATGAGCCAGCAAGATGCAGAGCTTGAAGCAAAATTAACCCCTTTTCCCCACAGCTCAGCTGCTGGGAGAAGTCTGCCAGTGTGACACCCTGCGGGTGCATGCAAAACATACTCCAGGTTTCCAAACGTTAGCGACTGGAGGAAGCAGGTGCTGGGTTTTGTGTGGGAGACAGAGGAACCTGCAGCCCTTGCTGCCCACCTCTCCAGGCCACCCACGAAAGAAGCAGGTGTCCTCACTCGTCCAGATTAATTCCACCTCTGGACACCTTTGCTAAAGAAAACAGAGAAAGGCTGGTTCCCCCATGATCACAGAGCTGCTGCTGCTTCTTTGATTTGGAACTTGCTTAGACAGCCAAATGCTACATTTGCAGAGGACTTTCCCTCTAGGCATTCATATAATTTATTTTTTATGTTTATGGCTAATTTCTGCTTAAGTAAGCCTGCAACTTCCTACAACAATTTCACTGTAAGTAATCACAAGTGAACATAATCAAAGTAACAAGCACTAATGAGGTCCCACAGAACTGTGACGGGCTCCAGCATCTGCAGCATCGCTCCTGCCACAGGCTCCTGGAGAAGAGGTGGCTGTTGGAGCCTCCACCTTTGGAAGTGTGGGCAGGGTGAGACATCCCCTGTTTCACAGCATCCCCATAGGGTGAGAGAATGAGGCAAGGGCAGACATCTTAGGACCCCAGTGTCGACAATAAAAGTAGTCAGGGGAGAGGATTAGCAATGCTAGGGAGGGCAATACTCGCTGTTGATCGGAGAGCAAGGAGGACCATGTGAAAAGGGCAGGCTGGGACAGATATACATGCCTGTTTCCTCCTGCTTTCCCTCCCTGATTCTTCAGGGCAGCTGAGCCTGTTACCATGCGACTTGCGTTGTGACAGCAAACGCCTCTCATGCACCAAGTTTGAGGATGCAAAGGACAAAGACAGTCTGCAGAGACAGAGAAGCACATCTTGCTGCCCAAACTGATGTGACTCTGGACAGGTGAGGTGGAGAAGGGGACGGCTCACTCACTGGTACCTTCTAAGAAGTCACAACTTCCCAAATCCATCTTTGTGCTCCCCCCACACACCCTTTCCTTATCCCCATCCTGCAGGCTGCTCACCACATGAACAGACAAGGGTTCAGCCAAATACCCTGCTCTGAGGGATATGCTCATTTGCACTGGCCTGCAGGACACACGTAACAGATTGCTTGGGGACCTCTCCTTCACAGAATTACCTATTCCACATGTTAAGATGGCAATCTTACTTTGTTCTCTCCACTTATACACCGTGGCCTGTCTTCTCCCCATGCAGCCACCTTTCTTGTCACTTAAATGTGGAATACGACTTTCACCACATGACACTTCAGTAGCCCTGGAAAATTATCTTATTGCTAGTGGCAAATGGATAAGAAACCCTCAGGGCATCTGTTCAAAGAAGCTGAGTGCCACAAGGTTCAGGCTGTTCCCCAAGGGAACAGATGCATCCTGTTCTACAGGTCTGCACCAAGATCTGAAGTCTCTCCCCCACTCTTTGTGGGCATCTCCCTGTATGGAAGAGGACAGCAGTGTCCACAGTATCTCTTTGCCTAATCAGGGGGGTGACACTCTTCACCATGTGCCACTGATGCAAGCACCATGGTACAGGAAAAGCAGGGTTTGGTTTTTGTGGACAGATGAACAGAAAGGTCAGTTATCCTTTTAAAGCACTAGTGATCCAGGACAGAATCTCAGGGATTTATTTATTTTTATGTCAACTTCTCTTCTTAAAACAAACAAACAAACAAACAAACAAACAAACAAAAAAGACACAAAGAAACAAACAAACAAAGCCACCAAAAAATTTCTTCATTATAAAAAGTGGGTCTTTAATCTCATCCCCATTTTTCTGAAACTAATGACTTGAATTCTCAGGCTAAAATTGCAGATTTTGGATTCTGAAGGTGGAAAATTTCAACAACCGCATATTTCCTGTCTCAGGGGACATTAGCAACTCCCTAAGTGGAGAAGGTCTGACTAGGGGTAAATTCCACAGACTGCAAGAAGAGCAGTACTGGGCTGATCTTGAATGTAGTTAAACCCCATTTCACCATATTCCACATCATCAAATCCCATATTCTCAATTTCACCAAAATTCCTTCTACTCACAGGGTCTTAAAAAGTGCTGTGAAAAATGTTACATCTGGAAGTTCAAAATATATTAATTTCAGATTTAGTCCATCAGCCTTCTCAATGAGCAATACAGAATGCACTTGATTTATATTTCAAGATGGACATCACAGGTTCCAATACTTTGTCCTAAAGTTCTGTCAAAAAGAAGACATTTACTTAAGAATGTCCAGCAAAGCCTTTGGTTTGCTTGGTTTTCTGACCTGCCTAGCTCATCCAAAGCTTTACAGCTATTGGGTCATGTAGGAACACAGGCTTGGGAGGTTTCCTGGCTCATATATAACCAGATCAATAAACCACATGCCCAATTAACTGGACACCAGACTATTTTGAAACAAAACATGTCACAAGCCTTTCAGCAGACTCCCACTTAGCCTACATACAGCTAAGCAGACTTTCTACATCAGCCATATTTTGGAGACAGCTGTGGACAGTTACTATTTTCTATTTGGTTTGAAACACCTTCCCAGCAGTTCAAACCTCCTATAGATACTACTGGAAAATGTATAATTCTGTATAAGATCAGAACTACATGAATAAAAATGTCTGTTGCTGGAGCTTCTAACATGATTCACACAAAAAGCCAACAGAAAAAACTACTTTAGTATTGAACTGCATGCACTCATTTCCCCATCACGCTCTCGCATCACACAGCTCATCCTTCATCACACTGTGGGTCTCTTCCAAAAGTGGGTTTCCCTGGGTTTCTAAGCATTTCCCTACCCTTAGCTCACATACGAGCACCATGAAGAACTGTGGTATCTGAGCAATCTGGATCTTGGACACTTTGATGCCTCTCAGGGAAAATATGACAGTTGGTTCAGCCCTGACCGCCCTCTCCCCAGCCCTGTGCCTTCAGCATCACCGGTGTCCTCGGGAGGCAGGGTGGGAGGTGTGCAGGAACCAAGCAACTCAGCTTTTGACAGGGAGGTGCAGGGCTGACCACAGTGGGGTTCACCCATGGCTGCACATGCATCCTAGCAAAGGAACCGACCTGCCCTCATGTCCTTGAGGGAAATGAGCTGGAAAAAGGGAACGCAGGTGGGAAATGAGCTGAGATTTCTGCAGGCATTCTGGAAGAGAGCCAATGAAGTCCCAGAGGACCAGAGATCAATGGGCTCTCCCTCCATGGAGTTTAAGTCTACACTCTCAGAACCTCTCCCAGGGACAATCCCTTCAGTACTTGGTGCTCACCAGAATTTCACAGTCTCTGTGAGTGAAAGCTTGTGACCTCTGTCCACCACCAGCCTGTCTTCCTTCTCAGGTCACCAGGCTCCAACAACACTAAACCAAGCCTTTAGGTCCTTGGGAGCCTAAACTAGTGTTTGCCACAACCGAGGTCACCCCTCCCTGTGGGAGGCAGCTGTGTGCAGAGAAAACCTCTGCAGAGATTTGGAGGGGGGGCACAGCTGGAGGAAAGGAAATGCCCAGATCATCGTGACCCGGGAGAAAATCCCTTTCCTATCCCTACAGCCGGTGAACATTCTGCCACCGACCCCCGGAGCAGAGAGCCACCCACCTCGGAGGATGTTCGGAGCCGCGGTGGGGGCAGCCGGCGGGGGTGCCCCT